TTGGGTGGCAGTGGTGGTGGGTTGCTGGGAGGCAGTAGTGGTGGTGGTCTCTTGGGTGGTGGTGGTCTCTTGGGTGGTGGCCGACACCATTACGATGACTACAGACGCGTTGAATTTCCCCGAGGTGTTGGTGGTGTTCCCTACAATGACTTCCATGTCCGAGAGCCACCCCCCAAATATGCCAACGGCAAACAACTTGGTGGTAATTACAAGTATGGTCACATCGAGGCCAACGATAACGCTGCTCAGCTGGGGGGCAAATACCGATATGGAGAGATCCTTGAGTCGGATGGAAGCATCAGGGACCTCCGAAATGGTGACTACCGCAATGCTGAGAATGCATATGGTGGCCACAGGGGCAATGGACGGTATAGATCAGCAGAAGGCACACCAATCGTGGGCAGGCTTCACCGGCGAGAGCTGCGGCCTGGAGAAATTCCCCCTGGTGTGGCCACTGGGGCGCTAGGCCCTGGTGGTGTGCTGGGCAGTGGGGGCATACTGGCGTCTAATGGCATCCTGGCAGGCCAAGGTGGCCTGCTCGGCGGGGGAGGTCTCCTCGGTGACGGAGGACTTCTCGGAGGAGGGGGTGTCCTGGGCGTGCTCGGCGAGGGCGGCATCCTCAGCACCGTGCAGGGCATCACAGGGTAAGAAGGGGCTGGGCTCAACTGACCAACCTATGAACAAGGTGCTCACTCCCAGAGGCCTGGGGTTGGAGGAGGGATGGTCTTCAGAGCCCCATACATTTCAGAGCTTGGTGTTGAGCCTAGACATCTTCAGAGTTCCAGGTTATATGGTTTGGGGTCCTGGCATGAAACAGTCTGAGTTGAGTCCCAGCTCCCCACCTTTTGTGTTTGTTGTGCAAACTTTGGGCCATTCTTTTCATCTTTCTGAGAATCAGTAACCTATCTGTAGAATGGTCATAGTAATATAATTTAAATAGAATAAAAACCCAAGGATTTAAAATTGCATGTATAATTTCAATAGAAATTAAGGCCCGGCCTTAATATAGAGCCACACCCAAGTGAAAAGCAACCTCCAAGCCCCGGGCCCGCCTACCTCACGTCCTCCT